GGGGTTGCAGATGTCATGAGTACAACTCATTCTCAGTGCAACCCCCCCCCCCCCCCAGTTAAATGTGACCATGAACTTCATTGCAGAGCTGTTATGATTCTGTTCTGTTCTGAGCCCCTCTCTCAATTCCTGTTCAGGCAAGCAACAGGCAATGATCAAGTTGCTCCACATCAATCGCAAGAGATTAGTTGGGGGGCGGGGGGAAGAGCCCAAATGCTGGACAAGTCCAGGTTGAGACCTTTCTTGCTCACTGTACCCAGTAATAACAGGACTTTGGACTTCTCAGCAAGAAAGCCACATGCTGGGCTGTGGATCTTCTGTAGGTATTTTTTTGCACTCCCAACTAGCAGCAAATGATCTGGTAATGTTTAAGCTCTCCACAAAATAGTTTGTGATGAAGGAAATCAAGCGTTTGAAAGCAAAGCATCAGGGCCCTCTTTTCCTCTATCAGATACTTTGCACGGTGCTTTAAAGGGACACAGGATGTTTCTAAGGGAGAGCCGAACTTTGCACAGACCCTGAAGTGGCAAAGAATACAGGATTTTTCAGTACACCATTTGCTTTTCGGTGGGGTTCCAGACTCGGCCCTTGAGACGCCAGAACCCAATCCTGACACCGTACAGGAATCTACACTAGAGCACCCCGAAAGGCTGCCCCCAAAGGACCATCTCGCTCCTCGTCCAGCCCACCATCTCCACGGGGCTTAGTTTCCAGTCCTGGACCATGCTCAGCACCTTCTCTGACCCTCTTCCATTTCCCTGCATCCTTCTAAAAGTTTGGGGGCCAGAACCGGACACAAAAGGTGACGTGGGGGCGGGGCAGAGCAGAGCAGAGCAGAGCAGAGCAGAGCAGAGCAGAGCAGAGCAGAAGAGTCACTTCCGGCCATCTGGAAACTGTCTTTCCCTTGCAGCAGCCTAAGACTGCACGGGTCTTCTTCTGGTGGCTCATTCTCCCTTTCCAATCTTTCCTTTCCACCTTTTTTGCAGGACAGGGCAGCACCTCTCACCCCACACCCGGGCATTTGATCTTCCTTTCCCAAGTGAAGAACTTCGTGCTTACTCGGTTCTGCTCTGTGACTCGGTTCCGTTCTGCGACGGACACATGTTTGTTCGGGGGTGCTCACTGTCCCACCCCGTCTAGGGTCTCCTGCAGATTTTCTCAGCCGTGCCCCCTCCATCTCTGACAGGGTGGAGGACCCAGCAGAACCTCGCCCCAAGCCGCTCCAGGGGGTGAGGGACCCCCGAGGATGCGCTTGGCTACCATGTGCAAGCCGCTTCCGCGTCCAGTTACCGGCAAGCCACCCGGTCCGCCTAACGGGCTCGTGGGCGCCACGCTTCCGTAGCTGCGGCCCGAAATTCTCCGGACAAAGTCCTCGCCGGCGAAGCAGCTCTTCTGCCGGGGGCGCCGGACGGGGAGCGAGAGACCCGCAGGGCTCCCTCCGCATCCGGACCGGCAGCCGGGCGAGCGAGAGAAGCGGCGACGGCGACGGCGGCG